GATGACACAGTACTGAGCAGTTTCAGTTGTACATGCTTACTCAACAGCAGCTAATAAGAATAATCACAGGTTTCTGTCCTAGTAATGCCACTAACTTCAGTGTCTGATGCTGGGCAAATCGGTTTACTAATTTATCAAGTAGAGGATATTTTTTATGTTCTAGACATCAGATTTGTCATCTTTTTGTTTGTTTGTATGTAATATTGCTCAGCTTTGAAATCAATCATATGAGAGTAGTATTACTAGCTCTTTCTTCATAAATAACAATAATAGCAAAAAATAATAATAATAAACAAAGCAGGAGGAAAGAGATTTCATGAGTTCCTCTAGGCCATGCTGGAAGTGATACAGTCCAAATTCAAATTCAGGTCTGTTTGGCTTAAGCACTTTCAACAGTCTCTGACTGTCTGTATAGTCCATATAGATACTGGGCAGTTGAAAACTGTGGGGCTAGTTGGATCAGATTATCTAGAAGAGCTTGCTGTGATATCCTGTGGTGACATGATTTGATGGTCTGCAGATGAAGTCTCTTCTTATTTCTCCAAAAATATTTTTATTCCTTATTGCTATCCTATGGGTCTTTCTTATGAACTGATTGTTTTTTTATTATGCTACTTATTTACCCATATCTGCTTTCCTTTTTACTAATCCTAGTCACAGTTCTTCAGAAACTACTCATTCAATCGCATTGTTCTGATTGTGATGATTTCAAAATGCCTCTTCTTATTTATAAAGTGCATACCCCTCCTTTTTATTTTTCTTTTTTTGCAGGTAGAATCAATGACTGAATAAGTGAATGAATAATTGAATGAAGAATTTTTAATTTTAATAATCAATTTCTATAAACAGCACTCCCTTACATCCCAACTGTAAATGCAGCAGTATTCCTTACATGCATACAAGCATAACTCATATTATATACTTTTTATAAAGTAATGACCAAGGGCTCCTCCAGTGTTAGTACTTATTTTTACCCAATCTTATTTGGGTTTACTTTGAGTAAAATCAAGAAATATTTTCTTGTTTTTTGTTTAATATTCTCTCTCCCTTTTTTTTGTTTGTTTTATTCTTTTACTAAAAAGCCCATTTGAGTATTCATGTTTGATTCATATGTTTCCTGGTTCCCATGAAGTTAGAAAGCATTATCTTAAATTGCATAAGCCTAGAATCTGACCAAGTTTGGCCTTCTGTTGTTTTCTCCAGGACATGAAAGGGTCATGGCTATTTAAAATTTTTAATTCTCCCCTGGGAAGAAGGGAACATGTGAATGGTCTTTAAATAATTTCCATTTTAGCACTATAAGGTTCTGTGAATCATTGGTTATGTCTGTCAGAGAAAGTTGAATTGCCAGGAAACTGAAGAATGAATCCACTATGTTTCCCTTTCTTTTCCCCAAAACTAAGTACTTCCCTTAAATACTCTTGTTCCTCAGAAGAATGTGAATTACAAACTAGTAGCAAGAATTGAGACATCATGCAATCATTCATATCACCCCCAGAAGAGTAACTGAAATGGAACCTTAATATATCCTTATATAATCACTCTATTTAGAAAAGAATGCCTGGGTGGTGCAGAGAGTTAACACAGTTGGTTCCTAACCAAAAGGCTGGAGGTTCTAGAGTCACCTTGGAAGAAAGGCTTGGTGATTTGCTCCTGAGGAATCAGTCATTGACAGTTGTATGAAGCATAGATCTACTCTGATGGCAGTGCGTTGCATTTGTCGTTATGTTACTCTTTTTCCCTTATTTAGGGGCATAGAAGTCCAGGCCTCCTTAGTTCTCTTGCTCCTGAAATCTACTCATCTCCCATCCCATTGTCTACTCTTCCTGGAAAAACCAAAAAAAAAAAAAAAAAAAAACTCACTGCCGTAGAGTTGGTCCCAACTCATAGTGACCCCTCTTTGGGTTTCCAAGGCGGTATCACTATGGAATCAGATTGCCCAATCTTTCTTCTGAAGAGTGGCTGGTGGGTTTGAACCACCAGCCTTCTGGTTAGCAGTCAAATGTCTTAGGCACTATGCCACCAGAGATCCCACTCTTCCTGGAAGCACGTGACAAATTAGGGAACTCAGACTTAGGAACTAGGTTCCTGCCCTTCTGAAGAGTGTAGACAGGCATGTGTCTGGGCCCCAACTTACTCACCCTTCATGTTGTCCTGGGCTGCCCTGGAACTCCACATCTTGCAGGACTCTTCTGCTGAGAAGCTGTCTTTATGCCACTGGCTTAATGACTATCCCCAGGGATGCTCAGAGTTATGTACCACAGAGGAGAGTCTCTGCTTAGTTTTTCCTGGGTGACGGGAAAAGTGTGTGTGTACATGTTTGTTAGGATGGAGAGCTAGAAGGTAGATGGGATATTTAAGCAACTGCACTGTGAAGGGGAGGGGAGAGTGAGGGTCATCACCCCTTTAAGATCAAAGGGCAGCCCACTCAATTCTCCCACATTTGCATGAAATTTTAGTGGGTATTTTAATTTTTCTTTTTACTGATTATCAGTGATATCACACAGAATAATTTCTGGCCCCTTCAAGTGACAACCTTTCAGAGATCCAGGTTCAACAGCATCTACTTCCTTCCACTTCACTTAGTCTCCTGGTTAAGCAGCCCTCCTTCATGTGTCTGTTCTTAGTATGAAATTGTGAAACTGTCATTTATTCAACAGCAAGTGTGTATTGAGGAACCTGTGGAAATAGAGGGGTGACAAAAGTGTCCTGAGAGAAAGAGAGAGAGAGATGAATGATGAATGAGGGCAGGCATGTTCACTAGGACCTTGTCCATCTCTCTGTTTTTCCATCTTTAGAGATGCAGAGTGTCTTCAGCCTAAGGACTTTTCATCACTCTCTTGCTCCACTTCCAAGGACTATCTTTTGTCCTGATAGAATGAACTAAATAGAAAACAGGAAAAGGCCCAGTGGTTGGACTGTAGAAGTACCTTAAGTGATTGGCCTCCAAATCTTGTTTCAATTGCCTCATTGACCAGTTTTCTGCCAGTGGACCTGCCAGCAAGGAATGTGCATGCTTTTCTGGCTTCTTTGGGATGAGTGTGGCATGAAGGTATCCATGGTGCAGTGCCTAAGGCATTTGACTGCTAACCAGAAGGCTGGAAGTTCAAACCCACCACACATTCCTCAGAAGGAAGGTTGAGCAATCTACTAGTGATACAGCCTGGGAAACCCAAGGAGGGGTTGCTATGAGTTGGATCCCACTCTGTGGCAGTGAGTTTGGTTTGGTTTTTTGAGTATCACGCTCAGAGATCACAGTTAAATTCCGTTTTGGCTTGGGGTGCATGGGCAAAGTCCCAATTCCAGTTTTAATGGAAATCATATCTAGTCATGGGTAAATATAATTATTTTGCTTTCTCTTCCTTCTAACTCTGCATTTCTAACACCCATGGATCAGATTAGCCAGGCCCAGTCTTAGGTCTTCTCCCAGCATTCAATAATTATCTGAGAGACTGTCCTGTCTTTCTTGAAATACAGAAAGATACTGGGCATGAGGCTATCCATTAAAAAAAAAGAAAAACAAAACAAAACAAAACACCTGGTTTCTAGATCTTCCCGTTGATACTGGGTGTTGTTGCTCTGGCACTGTCAATGAACAGAGCTAAGAAACTGTAGACATAACAATTTAAAAAAAATATATACCCACACTCACTGCTGTTGAGTTGATTCTGACTCATAGTGCCTCCCGTGGAGTTTCCAAAATGCTAAATATGGAAACAGATTGCCTCATCTTCATCCCACGGAGTGGCTGGTGGGTTTGAACTGCCAGTGACTGCAGATTAGCAATCAAATGCCTTAGGCACTATACTACCAAAGCTCCTTTTATTTATTTGTTTATTTAATTACATGGTTAAGCCTATGCAAACTTCTATAATGTAATAGCTATCTATGGCTGACACTTAAACATAGAAGGAAGGTCAAACATTTCAATAAGGCCTGAAAGACTTCACAGAGTCTCACCCTATTTTTCCTGTCCCTCCAATATCCACCCACAGATTACTCTGAGCCACATCTGACAACTTACTTTTCCATAAGCATGAATTTTTCCCTATGTCTGGTAGGCTCTCCCCTTGTCATAACTTATCTACCTGGAAAACTCCTCCTCACCTTTCAACTCCTAATCTGACTCCTTTCTCATTCCTTTTGGCAGGATTAGTAAACCCTCTTCTGGGTTCCCATAGCACGTTGTGTTTAACTATCACAGTTTCATACTTACCAAACCCTTGTTTTTGGTTTGGTTTTTATCACAGCCTCAAGGAACTCTGGTAGCATAGTGCCTAAGCCACTTGACTGCTAACCAGAAAGCTGGTGGTTCAAACCCACAGCCAATCCTAAGAAGGAAGTTGGGCAATCTACTTCCGTAGTGATACTGCCTAGGAAACCCAAGGAGAGGTCGCTATGAGTTGGGTCTGACTCGACAGCAATTAACAACAACAACAACATACAAAAACAAAACAAAACAAAAAAAACCTCACTGCCAGTTGAGTTGGATCCTACTCATAGTGACTCCTCCTTCAGTTTCCGAAGCAGTATCTCTACAGAAGTAGATTGCCCAATCTTCCTCCAGAGGAGTGGTTGGTGGGTTTGAACCACCAGCCTCCTGGTTAGCAATCAAATGCCTTAGGCACTACACCACCAGAGATCCCATACTTTACTATAGTAGTGTAATTATAAATCTCTACCCTCCAGTGGAGGGAAACAACCGTATCTGATTCATTGTCGTATCTCTAGTGCTGACCACAGGTCCTTGCACAAGGAAATACTGTACAAAATGCCTAAAGTTAATGAGCACACAGAGCCTGAGGGTATCCATTTGTTTGTCATACTCCTTTTATTTTTTTCATTTTAAGCCACTCCTTATCATCTAAAACATAATAAGTGTGTATGAACACTTATCATGTTTTAGATGAAAGTTTATATACAAATTAGTTTCCTATTGAACAATTTACACACTCATTGTTCTGTGATATTGGCTGCAGTCCCCACAAAGTGTCAGCACTCTCCCCATTTTCACTTTTCCTTCTATTTTCATCCCTCCAGTTTCCTTCCCTCCTTGTCTTCTCATCTTTGTTTTTGGGCAAATGTTGCTTGTTTGGTCTCATACAATTGATTGCTCTAAGAAGCACATTTATCACAGGAGGCATTATTTATTTTATAGACCAATCTATTATTTGACTTAAAGGTGACTTCTGGGAGTAGCTTCAGTTCCAGGTTAAAAGATGTCTTAGGGCAGTAGTCTCCTATATATATATATATATATATTTGTATATATCCCCTCAATGTAACAGCAAGAACCCACGTTTCCCCTGGGTTTCCCATTTCCATTCACCCATCTTTCCTGTCTTGTCATACTATTGACAATGTCTCTAGGTCTGGGCTCTGGATAAGGGCTTGTTGGCTATATATGATGATTTGGTCATACTTCCCATTGGATCTTGTGGTTATTTCTTGATTTATCAGTCTTACTACCCCTTCCTCCTCAGCACCTTGAGCATGGCTTCCCTAATGGGCTTGGATTTGATACTATAGATGATGGGGTTGAGTACAGGAGGTATGACCAGGTACACATAGGCAGCAAGAGCATGTACTACATGTGGCAGATGCTTCCCAAATCGGTGGATCATGGACACACCTATGACTGGGATGTAGAAAACCAGAACAGCTAAGATATGAGAAACACAGGTGTTGAGCGCCCGGAAACGCTCTCTGGGGGAGGCTATCCCCATCACTGTATGAAGAATAAGGGTGTAGGACATGACAATAAGCAGAGAGTCTACACCCACTGTGGATAGAACAACATAAAGCCCATAAAAGATATTGACAGTAATGTCAGCACAGGCTCGTTTCATGACATCTGCATGGAAACAGAAGGAGTGAGATAGGAGGATCTTGCCAGGGCAGAAATTCAGCCTCTTAAGCAAGAATGGCACTGGGAAGAGGGAAACAGTGGCTCGAGCCACAATGACTATTCCAATCCTGATGATGACATTATTTGTGAGGACAGCTGTATAGCGCAAGGGGTTAGAGATTGCCACAAAGCGGTCAAACGACATGGCCAGGAGCACTGAGGATTCCACCACAGAGAAGGAGTGTAGGAAGAACATCTGGACCAGACAGGCATTGAAGCCAATGAGACGATGGTCAAACCAGAGCACAGCCAGGGTGGTGGGCAGTGTAGACAAAGTGAGACCCATATCAGTGAGGGCCAGCATGGACAGGAAGTAGTACATGGGCTGATGCAGGCTGGGGGTCCTCCTCACAGCCAGTAGGATCAGGGAGTTTCCAGTGAGGGCCACAGTATACATGGAGGAAAAGGGAATGGAGATCCAGCCATGAATGGCTTCCAGTCCTGGGATACCAATCATCAGAAAAGCAGGTGGCTGGAAGAAGGAGATGTTGACATAGGTCTGGGAAGGGAGCATCCTTGGGGGACAGATGAGGTCTCCAGAATAATGTGACTCACTTCAATCTGATCAGAAAAATTAGGAGAAAAGACAACATGTTTGAAAATAAACCACCTTTGATATTAGATGACATGGGAGCCCAATAGCAACTATGAAGGATAAAAAGAGTTAAAAAGTATTCCACCTAAAAACAATTGAGAGCTTAATAGAAGCTCAGTGTGATGGTGGGACCATGCGATGAACATAACTTGTGCCATTGAATTATATATTTGCCACAATAAACCCCCAGAAATAATAATAATAATTAGAAATAACAAATAAAAAACCCTAAAATGAAATAAACAAACAAAAAACAAACAGCTGCATCCTAAAGCTACTGACTGTATTGTTGTTAGATACTGTTGAGTTGGTGCCAACTCATAGAGGCCCTTTGTACAACAGAACAAAGCACTGTCTGGCCCAGTGCCATCACAATCCTTGCTGTGCTTGAGCTCATCATTGCAGTCACTGTGTCAAGTCATCTTGTCGAGTGTGGTAGTTAAGTTTGTGTGTCAACTTGGCTGGGCCTGGTTGAGTGACTGGACAGTTGGATGTAGTATTCCCCATGATGAGACTGGTAATCAACTCCATGGTGGAATCTACTGTGAGAAGCTTAGTAGCCACCTTTAGGTATGTGGTCTGCTCCCCGTATATAAGGAGAAGCCTTGGGGAATGGTCTCTAGCTTATGGCATGCATGGGCCCTGCATGTAGCTGTGTCATTGGTCAGCAGCCTGCCATGCTCTGCCAACTTTGGGACTTACAATGGACTTGAATTAATGGTCTGACATGTGGTTTGGTAAAATCAGGACTGTGCCATTTTATTTGTCCACCTTGGGCTTGTTAGCTTCAGCAGCCAGTAGTTATATGAGTGAAGAGATACCTCTAGCTTCAGTGGGCTGGGAGGAAGAGGCAGAGCTGAAGCCCAAGGTTGAGGGGCTTTCACACATCCCCTAGAGCCTGGCACTTTGAACTCAGACTTAATACCTCCAAATTGTAATAGAATAAACTCCTGTTTGTTCAAGCATCCCATTTGTGGTATATTCCTGTCAGAGCAGCACTAGGTAACCAGAACATTGAGAGTCTTCTCCTTTTCACTGACCCTTAACTTTACCAAACATGATTTCCTTCTCTAGCCATTGTTCTTGCTGACATGACCAAAGAAGGTGAGACAAAGTCTGGCCATTTTTACTTCTAAGGAGTTTCTTGTTTCTTCCAAGGCAGATGTGTTCATTCTAGCAGTCCGTGGTACATTCAATATACTTCACCAACATCACAATATAAATGTATCAATTCTTCTGCAGGCTTCCTTAGTCATTGTCCAGCTTTCACATGCATGTGAGGCTACTGAAAATACCATGGTGTGGGTCAAGCACACTTTAGTCTTCAAAGTGACATCTTTGCTCTTAAACACTTTAAAGAGGTCTTTTGCAGCAGATTTGCCCAATGCAACACATTGTTTGATTTCTTGACTGCTGCTTCCATGGGCATTGATTGAGGATCCAAGTAAAAAGAAATTCTTGAAAATGTCAAACTTTTCTCCATTTATCATGATATTGCTTATTGGTCCAGCTGTAAGGATTTTTGTTTTCTGTATGTTGAAGTGTAATCCATATTGAAGGATGTAGTCTTTGACCTTCATCAGTAAGTGCTTCAAGTCATCTTCACTTTCAGCAAGCAAAGTCATGTCACCTGAATATCTCAGGTTATTAATTAGTCATCCTCTAATCCTAATGCAGCACCCTTCTTCAAATAGTCCAGTGTCTGGGATTATCTGCTCAGCATAAAAATTAATTAAGTATGGTGAAAGTGTACAATCCTGATGCACACCCTTCCTGATTTTAAACCATGCAGTATACCTTTGTTCTGTTTGAACAACTGTCTTTTGGTCTTTGTATAGGTTCCTCACAAGCACAATTAAATGTTCTGGAATTCCCATTCTTCACAATGCTGTCTATAATTTGTTATGATCCACACAATTGAAAACTTTCACATAGTCAATAAAACATAGGTAAACATTTTTCTGGTCTTCTTTGCTTTCAGCCAAGATCCATCTGACATCAGCAATGATATCCCTGGTTCCACACCCTGTTCTGAATCTGGCTTGAATTTCTAGCAGTTCCCCATCTATGTATTTCTGTAACCGTTTTTAAGTTATCTTCAGCAAAATTTTATTTGCATTTGGTATTAATGGTATGATTTTATAATTTCCACATTCTGTTGGATCACTCACCATAAAGGTATTATTTGAATGTGGGAGAAACACTGATCTTATCACATGTGAACAAAAGAGTGTTCTTTATTTAAAATACGTGAGATGATATTACAGAGCTCTATTTCAATCAAGGAACAGTGACCTAAATGGTACTAGTGGCAAACACACTGCAGAAGCCTGAAAGCTTGACCAGATGGGCTTGCTATCCTTCCTTCTTGGACTCAGCTTCCAAATAAGAAAAGGAAAAACAGCCTAAATGCATGTCAGTAAAGCACAGAAGGGAAATACCTACCCTCAAATCAGCTTAGCTAATTAAAATGCATATGTAGTCAGTGCAATCAACTCATTATTAAGATACGAATGACCAATTATTTTTGGGTGATCATGGGATCATGGGATCACTAGGGTTGGTGGCATTCATTGAAGTAATTTGTGATGTAACCCCCTCACTGTCCCACCCCATGGATCTCCTCCTGTACCTGACCATATGAAATCCTTAGTAATGTTTATTATTAATTTGAATCATAGAATAATATGTGATAAATATTCTTTAAGTTGCTTATATGCACTATTTCTTAGATTATATGAATATCAACAGGAGAACTGTTTTATAAGCTCTTTTTACAATGAATTACATTAGTTACAATGTCATTAGTAACTGAGCAGAAGCTTTTATGATTTTTCTCCTTTTCCTTTAATTACTACTTCATTCTCAAAAAATTTATTGATATAGGTTCACAAATACAAATTATCACAATATTATAGCTACAACACTAGAACATTGGAAAAAATCAGCACCTGTGAAAACTCCAGTAGCAATGCAAACAACAGCATGTGCTTGCAGCATGTGAGGTGAAACCCTGTGATTCAGAGCATCATTGTAATTGGGTAATAATGACAGCTGACTGGAGTGCATCAAAAGGTTCAAAAAGTAAATTTGCATAGAGTTTCAGCCTTGTAGGCATATTGATACATGTAAGCTGGGCTTACAAAAAATGTTTTTGTTGTTATACCTAACTACAGGGGCATTTTTATGAAAAAATATATTTCTGCTGAAACACTTCATAAAAATGTTATAGATGGTCATTTTGGTGTCACTTCCTCTGACAATGTCATGGTGTGGTCCGCATGCTTTAATGGCACCACTGGGGTACATTGTGCCTATAGGGTAAAGGATAATGCAAATTTTGCTAGAAATCTTTTAAAGAACACATGGTGAATTTAAACTGTTGGCTGTCAGTTCAGCCATTCTCCATTTTTTCTTTCTCATACACTATTTTTGAGGAAGCATCAAGCCTGATAGAACTTACTTCATTCAAAGATGAGTGACAAGTAAGTTGCAGCATAGAATTTGTAAATACATATTTTGTGAAAATACATATTTTGTGAAAATTTAATAAGTTTAAGACATGTAAAAATACTCTGAGGAAAGAATTATTATAGGAAACAGAAGAAAATTGCATATAAAACATTTTCTAAATAACTAAAGAAATTAAAGAAAACATGAAGCAAAATAAAATGTGATATTAGAATGTAAAAATGAGTTAATAATAAAGAAACAAAAAGCAAAATAATACAGCAAAGGAAATAACATAAGGATAATAAAATCCACTATAAAATTGAAAACAATTTTATCATGAAAAAAACCCAAAAAACTGTGAGCCTGCTTAAAACATGCAGAGATATGAATAATATGGAGAATAAGGTTGAAAATAATCACACAAAATTAAATAGAAACATTATGAAAGCAATTAGAAGGCTGTAACAGTTATGCTGAATGAACAATGGAATTCCAAGCACAAGTTTTCCTGAAGAAAAGTTAAAACAAACAAACAAAAATATTAAAATACGAATGTTTTATCCAGAAAAATGTTTCAAAATCTCGATCTTTATATCAAAGTACTCATGTGTCAAGAAATAAACACCAATGAATAAGCAAATCTAAATACTTAAATATATATAGGTAAATTGTATTGCAAGTATAAACAAAGATTTTAGAAGCACATTGATAGAAGTGACAGATCTCTATTATTTTAAAAGACTTTTCCCAGAAATCTCTTAAGACTAATAGACTGCAAAAAGAGTGATATGTACAAAGAGTTGTGGGAAAATGAATGTAATCTAAGCATTCTCAAAACTAGAATATTCGGATGGAAGGAAAAAAATCCAAACATCAAGATACACATTTTTATTATTATTTGTAATATATACTGTACTGTAGGATGAATCATTTGAGTAGTTCTGTTAATGCCTTTGGGAAACAAGATTTGTTATATAAAGAAAAGAGTATAAAATCAAATAAATTGATTCAAATTCCATATCATAAATCTGAATTGGGGATATCAGAATAAACTCAGAAGTACTTTTCTTTTAAATATATATTTCCTAGCTTTAAGTTGGAATAGACTAGATGACAACTTTTTTTTTTTTTCTTTTAATCCACAGACAATGCTTAGAAACCTGATGAACTCAGGAGCAAGGAGTATCCCTAGTGCTTGGATGTGATGTTTAAAATCATTTTACCCTAAGAGAAGTCAAATGCCTTTCCATAAATAACTAATTTCAAATCTTGGGGTGGAAATAGGCCAAATGAGCTCAGACATCTTTGAGCAATAGAAAACAAGAAATAAGTAACCAATCAAAAACAACTAGGATTAGCTAATTTAACCTCTGGCTACCCCTAATTCCTAAACCAATTGTTGAAAAAAACAAGGATTCCAGCTTGAAGAGGCTCCCACTTGGTGGATCAACTGAGAATTATAACAG